CCCCGCCCCCCCGGGGGCCCCTCACCCCCCCCCCCCCCCCCCGGTGCCCCCCCAGCCCCGCCATGTCGCGCGCCACCAAGCGGAAGCACGTGGTGCGCGAGCTGCTGGAGGAGCGCGTGCAGCCCGCGGAGGGACAGAGCGTGGTCAGGGTGAGAGCGGGGACACCGGGGGGACACCGGGGACATTGGGGACATCGGAGAGACACCGGGGACATTGGGGACACCGGGGGGACAGCGGGGGAACACTGGGGGGATGTTTGGGACACCTCGGGGACACTGGGGGGACACCAGGGACAGCGGGGGGACACTGGGGGGACACCAGGGATACCTCGGGGACACTGGGGACACACCAGGGGGACACCGGAGGGACATTGGAGACATTGTGGGGACATTGAGGACACCCTGGGGACACCGGAGGGGACATTGGGGACACCGGGGGGACATTTGCGACACATGGGGACACACCTGGGGACACCTGGGACACACCTGGGGACACCGTGGGGACAGTCCGGGGATATTGGGGACCGATCCGGGAAGGAGGGACGCGGAGGGGACACAGGGGGACACCGCGGGGACACGAGAGGTGGCCCGGGGGACGCTGAGGGGACACTGAGGGGACAAGGCCCCGACCCTGGCGTGTCCCCGCAGGTGTTGGGGACACCGGGGAACAACCTGCACGAGGTGGAGACGGCGGAGGGGACGCGGTTCCTGGCCAGCATGCCACCCCGCTTCCGGCGCCACATCTGGATCAAGAGAGGTGACACCGCTGGCATTGTCACCCTGTCACTGTCACCGTGTCACTGTGTCACTGTCACCCTGTCACTGTCACCTTGTCATTGTCATTGTCACCCTGTCACTGCCCCTGCGCTTCCGGCGCCACATCTGGATCAAGAGAGGTGACACCGCTGGAATTGTCACCCTGTCACTGTCACCCTGTCACTGTCACTGTGTCATTGTCACTGTCACCATGTCACTGTGTCACTGTCACCCTGTCACTGTCATTGTCACCCTGTCACTGTCACCGTGTCACTGTCACCCTGTCACTGTCACCTTGTCACTGTCATTGTCACCCTGTCACTGTCACCGTGTCACTGTGTCACTGTCACCCTGTCACTGTCACCTTGTCATTGTCATTGTCACCCTGTCACTGCCCCTGCGCTTCTGGCGCCACATCTGGATCAAGAGAGGTGACACCGCTGGAATTGTCACCCTGTCACTGTCACCCTGTCACTGTCACCCTGTCATTGTCATTGTCACTCTGTCACTCATTGTTTTGTGTCACTGTCACCGTGTCCCTGCCCCCGCGCTTCCAGCGCCACATCTGGATCAGGAGAGGTGACATCACTCTGTCATTGTGTCACTGTCACTTCATTGTCACCCTGTCACTGTGTCACTGTCACTCTGTCATTGTCACCGTGTCCCTGTGTCACTGTCCGGTGTCACTGTCACCCTGTCCCTGCCCCCGCGCTTCTGGTGCCACATCTGGATTGAGAGGTGACGCTGTCATTGTGTCATTGTCATTGTCACCGTATCACTGTCATCCTGTCATTGTTCTGTGTCACTGTCCCCCTGTCATTGTCACTGTGTCACTGTGCCCCTGTCACTGTCCTGTTACTGTCACCCTGCCATTGTCCCCAGTCGCTGTCACCCGGTCATTGTCCCGTGTCAGTCACCTTGTCATCGTCCCCTCTGTCATTGTCACCCTGACACTGCGTCCTGTCATTGTTCTGTGTCATTGTCACCCTGTCACTGTGTCACTGTCACCCTGTCACTGTCTGTGTCACTGTCACCCTGTCACTGTCTGTGTCACTGTCACCCTGTCACTGTC